TTTTTTTCCATTTTCCACCCAATTAAGAGAATTTTATCATGTATCCAACTTCCTAAGCATTGTTCTTGCAAAAGCAAACACACTTTTTTAATTTCCCATTCTACCCTCAATCGAAACCTATACACTAGTCCTCCTCGTCTTTGAAGAAAAGCCCCCTTCTCCACATCTTCATCTTCAACCTCTGATCATCCTTGAGCTAGAATTAGAATTTTCAAGCAATTTTTATGGAGGTCTCACAGGTGCTTTATCGATAGAGCTCTGATTTTCCAACTCACAGGGTGAAATTGAGTTCGTCAGATAGTCCTCTCGAAGACCTAATGTCAGCCTCGCTGGCGTACGAGGAGTAGAAATCTTCATCCCCGTCTTTTTCTTTCAACTCCTCGATTTTGTCCACAGCCTCTCGCAAATCCAGCCTCTTCTCGAAATCGCTCTCGCAACATGTCATGGCGATCCGCAGAAGCTTCAGCATCTCCGCCTCGCAGTTCTTCGTCGGCCCCATGTCCTTATCGAAGACTTGGGTGCTCCAATCTTTTTCGGGAATGGCTTTTACCCAAGTGGCCAGATCTTCCTCATCCCCTCCCTTGCCTTGGTGCAAAAAGTTGGCCGGGAATTTCCCTGTGAGAATCTCTAAGATCAACAGCCCGAAGCTCCACACGTCTGTCTTCTTTGTGATTCGGCCCTGCTGAGAGTATTCTGGGGATTTGTAGGCCACCATTAGTTCTTGGGCGTGTTCTTGGTTCACCACAGGGATGAGGCCGTAGTCCGAAAGAACCGGCTCGTTCGAAGCCTTGAGAAGCACATTTGAGGATTTGAGATGCCCGTGAGCAGAAATCAGACTTGGAAGCTCTGTGTACAGATACCGAAGACCCTTTGCAACCCCTTTCACGATCTTCAATCGTGCAGGCCAATCGAGGGCTGGTTGACCCACTGCTTGGTGCCCTGAAACATGATTCACGAACACAAGAGCATAATTCTACCATCTCAAGGTATGTACTATGTATGATGTTAAATCATTATTGAACTCAAAATATGATGTTAAATTATTATTGAACTCAAAAGCTTGATAGGTTAATATTGATTGACGATGGCATAGCTATTTAGTGTTTTAGGGGTTTGAATTGAAGGGAGGAGAAATGTGTACATACCATGAAGATGAACAGCCAAGCTACCCTTCTCAATATAGTCTGTAATGAGAAGTTTTTCTTCCTTTTTGTAGTAGTAAGCAACGATAGGAAGCAAATTTGGGTGTTTTAACCTTCCAATTCTTCTCATATGTTCTTGGAATTCCTCTTTATCCACATTGTTCATTTGCTTAAACCTCTTCACAACCATGACAGGCCCGTTGGTCAAGGCTGCTTTATAAGAAGAACCGAAGCACCCACTTCCTAGGATTTCTGCAGAGGCTTTAAGCAAGTCTGACATATCAAACCTCTCTGAATCCTCTCTTACAAATGACAATTTAGCGTTGTCGCCGGCCCGTTTACCCAAGCTTCCGTGGCTGGAACCGCGGTCCGGTGATCTTGACCCGACTGCTGGATCCATGTCATTGGCACCTGGAGACTTGTTCTGCGCTGGATCCTCTATGGAGGGAGATGATTGGTTCCTACGGCTGAGGATGACTATTCCGGCACCAATGGCAAGGAGAGCCGCGGTCACAGCTATTGAAACCATGACGATGCTTGCAATTGATGGCATCTTCTGAGTGTTGCATGATTTATTAAGTGGTGGTCCACATAAACCATCATCCCCTGCTCGTAGGAGGCCACAATTTGCTTGCTTCTTAGAACACATTACAAAATTAAAAAACAGAACAAGAACCCAAAAGAAAAGAAAAGAAAACAGACCTGAAAAGGAGGTTGGATCGATCTGGGCGAGGGCTGATGGGATCGGGCCATGAAGTTGATTGTTGTTGGAGATATTAAAGGACTTCAATCCCTTCTGGTGAAAATTAGGAATTTGTCCTGAAAACTTGTTTCCTTCAAGCCTCAACTCCATGAGGCGAGGGAGTTCCACGAGGGACCATGGAATCTGACCCTCAAGCTGGTTCTGAGCCAAATGCACCTTCTTCAAAGACAGCATACTGGAGAATTTATCCCCGGGAATCTCCCCGGAGAAACGGTTTCGTGAGAGATACAGAGACTTCAAAGCCCCAAGTCTCTTGACATCCGGGAGAGGGCCCTCAAAATCATTGCCCATAAGGCTGATGGTCCTCAATTGGGGCGCCCCCTCTAGCGACTCGATGTCAACAGTGCCCTTGAGCCCCATATTTTCAAGCTTCAATCCCCAAACGTTTCCCTTCTCGCAAAGAATACCGACCCAATTCCCCTTGTCGCCGGAGCAAGGGGGGGAGCCGGCGGCCCAACTGGCCAACGCATCATTGCCAATTTCCAAAGAACCTTTGAATTTGAGAAGCGCCTCGTCGTCGGGAGCGCCAATTGTGGGTTCCAAAGAAACTAAAAGTAGAATGATGGTGGTGATGGTGATGGTGATGGTGCCCGGCGGCGGACATGGGCGTGCCATATTTTCGATCATATGAACACGCGAGGGCGCCAGCAGCAGCAGCAGCAGGCGCGCCCTTTCAGACGGCGGTGGCGTTGGAATTGAGAAGGGGAGGTCGTTGTTGGTGGTGGTGCGATGGGGCTAGGGAATGGTTGAAGGTGTGATGGAATTTTGATGGCATTGAAGAAAGAAGGAAACAGAGGAAACAGAGAGAGAAGGGCAAGGACTCTAAGAATAGGAGGAAAGGCTACGAGAATATTGTGTCCTACAAAAACAAAATGGGTGGCTCACAAGTTGACCAAGTCTACTTCCATTCAATTTCCCCCATCAGAACTGTACGCCAAACCTTTGAACCTGACAGGTGAGATTATCCATTTTTTTTCCCTTTTATTTTCTTCCTCCGTCTCTGTTGGCTATGGCTCTGGCTATGTTATATCATCCTTCCCATTATGACAAACAATTCCAACTCCCAATCATTTCTCCACCAACAAAATACCCGTTTGATTTCATCTAAACATTTTATTAGATATTTCTTTCAAGAAAGAAAAAAGAAATGTCAGATGAAATGATTGTTTAAGAGATGTGTGTTTTTTTTCTTTCCTTTTTGTTACATATACATTTGAGTTTGATTTAGATTATGCTATTTATGTAAAAGTTCTATCTTTCTATTACGGGTAAAAGCACATATTTGTTGGTAAATTTGGCCTGAAAGGTGTGTTTAAAGATTGTTATGCAAAAAGAGTAGAAATTTTATTTGGCAGGGCTTTGTAGAGCAAAACCAAATAGCTCTTGGAGATATGTTATTATGTAACAAAATCTTAAAACCGAGTAGGGGTTCACAGGGTAGGGACAAGGAAGGCTTCCCAACCCCATTAATTCTCCATCTTCCCATGGAGAATTATTTCTGATTTTTCTTTCTTTTAATATTTCTTAATTAAATAATTTTTTAAAATAAATTTATAATTAATTGCTTAATTCCCAATGTTTAATCCGGGATTTTATGCCTCGTTTAGGGTGGACACGTGGGAAAATGGACATCCTTAAGGTAGGTGCAATTACTTGGTAAGAAAAATGAAATTGGTCAATTTACATTATAATATGATGTCTCTTTAATATTTGAGGTTATGCTTCCACATCAAAGTGAGCTTTTGTCGTCCCTTGATAATTTTGTTACAATTTAATTGAGGTAAAAGAAATAATACCACAATAATTAGTAATTCCAGGGGAAAAAAATAATTTCTCCCAATGTCTTATCTTTTGTTTTCTCAAGGATTGCATTACAAAATTGTTTCCTAACAAATCATTGAATAATGAAATAATATATGGTAGCTTTCGGTCACCTAAAATTTTGTTGGAAATTTTTTTAGTACAATCCGCTAAGCATGAATTTATTATATTTATAGATTTATTTGTAATACGTCAATTTTTCAAATTTAATCATTAAAACAATTGTTGCTATGAGCCCATATTGAATAACGGTGTAAATGGTCTTTTCTTTCCTTTTAGTTCAACAATTGTGGAGTGGATGATCGAACTATCAATGATGTCTAATCTATGAGGGAGTCTCCTTTAGGGTTTATTTAAAGTGATACCAAATAAGCTTAAAATTATGCGAAGGTTTAGGTAATCCATCTGAAATTTGAAAGAAAGGGCCTTTATCAAAACCTTTGACGATAACTATTGTAAAACAGTCTGAAATAAAAATCTAGATAAGTGGTGAAAATTAGCTGGAAAACAATTTGATCCAACTAACATCAAAATATTTCCTTCACATTTTTATTAATAAAATTTGGGTTCAAGCTTCAGGGTTTCTCAGACTCACCATTTTGAGTTTAGCCAAAATTGGGGTTTGAGGTCGAGAAGTAGTGGTTGTGGTGCGTCAAGGCACTTCTCGGAGCAAGTTTGAAACTGGGTCTTAGAATGTGACAGATTACGCGGATGCTATGTTATGTGAACTCTCAGCATCAAACTATGTTTACGATATCCTTGTAAAAAATTCCTCTAATCGCTTGTTTTGAGTGGCACATTAATTATGCCTCAATTGGTTGGAGGTGGAAATTCCTTTAAACTTTCCTCGTTTGATAACTATTTTGCATTTTGTTTTATGTTTTTGAAAATCAAACTTGTAAATACTACTTTTATTCATGTTCATGTGTTTATTTATTTCGCGTTTGTTTTTATTTTTATTTTCTAAATTTGACTTAAAATGTATTTTTTAATAAATACGAAGAAATTATCAACAAACAAGCATAATTTTCAAAAATAAAAAATAAAAAACGAATTGGTTATCAAATTAGGCCTAAATGATTTGATAATTGGTCACAACACAAGAAGATCTAAAAATACACAGAAAACCAACTAAATAGCAAAATCCCTCCAAACAAACATGGATTCTTTGCAGACCAAATAAAGTTCACACAAATCCAAGAGAAACCACAATTTTGATCAAACATTTTGACTCACAAAATCGACCAATATATCACAACCAGAAATTAAAAAAAAAAAAAAACCCTGAGACCAAATTCAAATATGCTCAAAACGATGAGGACACACTGAGATAAAAATAATAATAACAATTAAAAAAAAGATATCTTAATTATTTAAAAGTAGATATTTCGAAGCAACGAAACTAAAAAACAATGGTAGAAAGATATTGCTCATCGGTCACCAAGCCAAACTACAACATGGGGTGAGAGATCAAACTCACATCCGCTTAATTTGAAATATATGTCAATTACTACTCAACTTTGTTCGCTTTGACAAACCGCGCAAGACTCGAAGGAGAAGGAGAAGGAGAAGAGAATATAGAGTAAGCTAACAGTCCACAAAACATGAAACAAACTATTGCGACTAGACTTTGTTCAAAAATTGTGAGAAAAGAAACAAATGTTTAACATAAAATTTGGTATGGCTGTTTTTGAATTCTTCTGGCAAAATGTAAATACCTCATCTTTTAAATTAATTTAGGTTTACTTTAATTCATTTTTGTCCGTGTATTTTTCAGTGTAATTCATTCATTTTAGTCATGTATGTTTGAAATGCCTATTTTTATTTTTCATACACATTTAGAAAGTGAGTATTTTAATTTCTTTAAATCAATTTCTATCTCAATTCTTTTGATCATAATTTTAATACGACACTTCACTAATTAAATTTCTTAAAAAAAAAATTTCTTTACCTGTAAAACTTGTCACTTCTTAAAAAAAAATAAAGATTAAAATAGAGATTTTAAGAATACAATAATTAAAATAAATCTTTTAAAACGTACTGGATTTCTCCTTTATCTGAGATCCTTATAGGAAAAATAATGAAAACGACAAAAAGTTAACAATCTAGAAAGGGAAATGATCTTCTTTTGCCAATAATTGAAAGGGAAATCTTTTTTTGATCTTCTTCTGAAAACTGTCATTGTCTTTGTTTTTTGACAAATTTTTTTCTCGACAAATCTTTTTCTTTATAATTGAAACTTTTAAAAGAATATCCCCATTATTTTTAAAACAAAAGGCAAAATTGAAGAGTGCTCTTTATAATTTAGCCTTAAAATCAATTTTTTTTTTTTCGCTGTCAAAAGCATTTTTCTTTCCATTAGCATATTTGGCGAGTTAAAAATTTGATTTTAAGAAACTCTAAAGTCACTTTAAATTGATTTTTAAGGTATCAATAAAAAGAAATCAACTATATTTAAATTTATTTTTTCAAAATCACTTCCAAATGCACCATCTAAATAATACCTTAAAAATCGATTAAAGTTGATTTAAAGTTTTCTTAAAATCAATTTTCTAATTTACCAAACATGATCAATATGGAAATAGCACCAGTGATTCCCAATCACATCTTAAGTTTATTTCGCGACTTTCGTACTTTGGTAGGTGGTGCTATCTTACCTAACATATAACTTGTAAGTTTCATCTTATTAATTGTTTTAATTAAAAGCTCATCCTCTTGCAGTTGCAGTTTCCTATATATACAATAATCGGCAGAGGAAGCTGGAAATTCAATAAGGAAAAACTTGAGTTCTTTGTTCTGCTTCCATGGATGCTGTATTTAGATTTGCTCATGGCTGCACTTTCAACAGCCCAAGAAGAAAATCATATTTCAGTGTTCGTCAGGTCAGTACACTCCTAATAATAATAATAATAATAATTATTATTATTATTAATTTAATTTCTCTTGACCATTAGATGTTAATTATGCCCAACCCCAACTCCAAGTTGAACATTTATTTATGGTTAAATCACGTCTAAGTTAGTGTTTCTTCTAAAAAAGGAAAGAAATAATGAGGTTTGTGTTTAATAGGTCGTTGAAATTTAGAAAGTATTTAATAAGTGAGAGATTCAAAGGTTAAAGTCGAAAGTTGGATGTGAGAAAAGAGGGAAAGGTAGGTGTGATTCACTTGGAAAGAAGAGAGAATCTGAAAGAAAATACGTACGAATTACTAATTTGAACGTGTTACCTCTCAATTAACTCTAGTTGTTTTGGACCAATGAACCATTGGAAATTGATATTACATTTTTTCTTTTTTCGGCATCTTCTCCTTTTTCCGACATCTTTTTAGGTATGATAAACATATCTCTAAATGAGCAACTTGTGTACCTAACTTTAGATTTTAATATTGAGAGGGACTCGAGGCCACACGTTTTCTCGGGACCTACTTAGATTAACCCTTGATTGGCATTTAAGACATTGGGGTCCCAAATCTTGGATTGAGTTCCTAATAAAACACACATCAATTGCCTTTTTTCCGGAAAAAGGTCAAATCACTTTGTTTTGACATTGAGTGGTACAATAATTGTGCCTCAATTGTTAACAGTGTGATTAAATATCTTGTTAAGTTTATTGATTCCTAAACCAAGATGAAAGAAAATACAGGATTTACTTTACTTTTTACATGTATTTCACTTGAAAAAGGTGAAATCATTAATCTAATTCTAATGCATTATCAGTCTAAGAAATAAAGAACATATATGTCAAATTAGGGTCTCTTTAGTAACGTTCTCCTCTCCAGACGTAAAAGTAAACGTTCTCAAATTTTAGAAACAAGAAATGAGATAAGTTAGCAAACATGTATGTTTTCCTAAAAATGACAAACAGGAACAAGAAATAGAAAACATGAACGTTACCAAACGAACCCTTAGATATTGCATGTCATCAATCCATATTGAAGATCAGAAAATGTTTCATGTTTCCCAAGATTGTATTCTTCAATTTTCCTGCTGGAAACAAAGCCAAACAACAATCAAGATAGGTCAAGCAAAAAGCAAAATCAAAATGCCAGAGATTCTCCAAGATTCCAGGAAAGTAGTGACCCTCCTCTGATTAGAGCACTGAAAGTCTCAGCTGAACAAAATGCAGCTGATTTTCACTTTCCAGGACACAACAGAGGGCGAGCAGCACCATCATCATTAACTCAGCTCATTGGTCTGAAACCATTTATGCATGATTTGCCTCAGTTTCCAGAGCTGGACAACCTGTTCCGTCCTGAGGGCCCAATTTTAGAAGCACTTCAGGAAGCAGCACAGCTTTTTGGAGCCTCAGAGACATGGTTCCTCGTTGGAGGAACCACCAGTGGAATTCAAGCTGCCATCATGGCAACTTGTTCCCCAGGGGAACATATAATTCTTCCTAGAAACTCCCATGTATCAGCCATTTCTGCTTTGGTGTTTTCTGGTGCAAAACCTGTATACATAATGCCTGAATATGATTCCAACTGGGACATTGCCGGTGGCGTCACCCCATCACAGGTAAGCAAGGAACAATGGTTAGAACTTGGAAGTGTTAAATCTTAATGATATCAATTCACAATCTAAATTGCTTGCTACCTAAGAAGTATGGACGCTCCAACATTTGTTGGACACGTATCGCGTACTTGTTAGCTTTAATAGATGTATGTCACCTACTAGCTGTACAATGTGAATATGGTTTCGACACTTGTTAGGCACGTATAGAACGATTGTTAAGCATTAGAAATAGACATAAATAGTATGACAAAATTGATAAATTTTGAGAGGGAAATACATCAAACTCTTTTTTCAAAGCATAAAAATGCATAAACTTGTGTCTTTGAATTTCCCTGTGGTATAAAAATAATAAATACTTTTAAAAAATTTGTATATTTTAGTAAACATGTCCTTGCCGTGTCCGTGTCCTAGGCTTTTAGAAAATGACATGTCATATTCTTGTGTCTATCCATATATATCTATGTTTCTTAGCTGTTAAGGATCCTGCATTGGTAAAATAAGAGACCAAACAACGATTTATAATAGACATGGAACCCATGAATATTAATATGGTATAAAAGCCAAAAAGGTCAAACGAGCATTCGTCCAAAAATGTGATTCGGTCAAGATCGATGAGTCAAAAGAACCACAACCTTGAAGGCATGCTCCCACATTGATAAAATAAATTACCTAACAAGGATTAATAATAGACATAGACTACTCCTCTCATTGCCAATTGATTTTGAGATAGAATCTCATGAATATTAATATTAGCTCACTACTAACATAAGTTTCGTGTTAGACTAATGTTTCCTAAGGTGGTGAAAGTCCAGTTATTCTAAATTCTTTTCTTCCACAGGTAAGTAGAGCAATCCAGATTTCAGAGATGGAAGGTAAAAAAGTATCAGCAGTTTTTGTCACTTCACCAACCTATCATGGCATCTGCAGTAACTTGAGTGAGATTTCAAAGATATGCCATTCCAATGGAATTCCCTTAATTGTCGATGAGGCTCATGGGGCACACTTTGGATTTCACCCTCAACTCCCTCATTCTGCACTCCAACAAGGGGCTGATTTGGTTGTCCAATCCACCCACAAAGTTCTCTGCTCTTTAACTCAGTCATCAATGCTGCACATGTCTGGAAACACTGTAGACAGAGAAAGAGTTTGCAGATCTTTACAATCACTTCAAAGCACAAGTCCCAGTTATCTACTTTTAGCATCATTAGATGCTGCCAGAGCTCAAATAAGTGACAACCCAGACGAGATTTTCAACAAGGCAATAGATTTAGCCAACCAAGCAAAACAAAAGATAACTAAAATTTCAGGTATCTCAATCCCAGAACTTCCCATCTTCCCCAACTTCCCTGCAATTGATCCATTGAGACTCACCATTGGGTTCCAGCAACTTGGTTTGTCTGGCTACAAAGCAGATGAAATTCTACACAAGAATCATGGCCTCATTTGTGAACTTATTGGCACCCAATCTGTAACTTTAGTCATTAATCTTGGAATATGTGAACGTGATATTCAGAGGCTGGTGTCAGGTCTAGAGGATGTGAGCTCTTATGGATCTATTCTAAGAATTGAAGGAAGAAGCAAAGTTATTGTTTCTGCACCCTTTACAGACATCAGAATCAAGATGAATCCTAGAGATGCATTTTTTGCAAGAAAACGAAGAGAAAACATTAGAGAAAGCGTGGGAGAAGTGTGTGGGGAGCTGATATGTCCTTACCCACCAGGGATTCCAGTGACAATCCCAGGGGAGGTCATAACAGAGGAAGTCAGAGATTTTCTGCTGCATCTGAAAAACAAAGGTGCCTGTATAACTGGTGCTTCTGATCCCCAACTCTCTTCAATCGTTGTTTGCAATGTGTAGGAGAAAAGTGAAAAATAACTCATGAGTACAGCACTTTTCTTGATTCCTTATGGTTGGCATAGTTTTGAAAGGGATCCACGATTCATGTGAAGCGCTCGAACACAAGACTTTGTGGCAGTAGATACTACAAGATTTAAGTCTTTGTCACTGCATTGAAAAATTTGCTGTGAAATAAAATTTAGTAGAGTTATTTTTAATTGTTCTCGCAAATTGGGGATACCTTCCGTCATTGTATTTGATCTGTTTTTATCTTTGTCTATGTAATTTTAAAAAATAATCATTTTAGTTTCTTCATTTAAATTTCTTAAACCGTAACTGTAATATTTAAAGTTCTATGGTAATGCAAAAACTAAAATGAATGTTTTAAAAGTATAAAAGAACATCGGTTAGAAAATAAATCAACAAAAGTGAACGTAAAAGTATCTTTTATATTTCTGCTTGTTTTTGGGAGACAATGATAGAAAAAAGAATGAAAATAAGAAGAAAGACGAAAAAAATAGAATGGGAAATCTTTTATTATATTATTCCTATCGATCTGATGCTGACGTGTTGTCTCCCTTACAGGCACGTGAATGAATACTTATTTCGGTTTTTTCTTTTTCTTTTTTTGCTAAATTACTAAAAAAGATACCACTAAACTTTATCTTTTATTTATTTAAAAACTACATGTATCTTTTCTAATATTATTTTTGACTTTTTATAAATATTTCAAAAATATTAATTTATTAAAATATTCGTTGATATTTTTAATGCAAAGTTCATGCGATAGAACTTAGAATGATATGAAAGTTAAAGTTTATAAAAACATCTAAGTCGACATGAAATGATGAATCAATAGTTTAGACAAAGCTATGATTCTTCAAGATAGTTTTTCTTCCATAAAAGTTGTATTTTTTATCCTTTGAAGAAACCTTTTTTATTCCACGTGACAATACCATAGTCATCTATGATGATTCTACACCATAATCCAAATTTTTAAAGGCAATGTTATTAACGTAATGCTGGTATAGAAGTTTGAAGCACTATATACCATTTTCTGATGACATTTGTGAGTAAGACAAACTTGTAAACTTTGATTGATATGGTGTCAGAGTTTGCCGCCGCTTTGACGGAGCAACCAGATCGTGGATGCCTTAAGTTTAGGTAGGAGTTAAATACTTATCTAAGACAAATCTAGATTAACTTTCACCCTCTCCCACCTTTTTGAAGCTCTCTCCCATAGCGATTGGCTATGGCTGCTTCATTGCTTATGGGGTTATGCTTTCAGCTAAAAAAACGTCTCGTCTCTCTAAAAAGTTTGTTTCTCTCTCCCTCTAAATTTGGATTTTGTCGGCAACCAAACAAACCTCCACCAGTCTTTTGTCTCAGGTTTCTTCCCAATTTTACAATCTTCCCTAACATATTAATTATAGGAAAATACTTAGATTCTCATTAGAACCGTTAAATATTTGACAACTCATAATTTCCTAATAAATCTTTATGTTTTTGCATTACTCTCTTTTAATCGTCAAATATTTAAGATGGCAAAGAGAAAGTTGTTCCTATTTTCCTTAATTACAACTCCTCCTCTTCTTTCACTTCATAAAATGGATCACATATCTAGGTGTGCTTCGTACAAGCTACAAATAGAAATAGATGCATTAAAATGAAAATATGACTGCTACCGTGCTCGGAACAGTACATTTCAGCATTTATTTCATTTGTTCCCTTCCTTGCCTTCTACTTACCTAACATATATCTGTAAGTTTCATCTTCTTATTGCTTATCCTCTGGCTTTAAATACCCACGAGATCAAAGGAAAACTTCAGTTCTTTGTTGTGTCTCCTAATTCAAAATACTTCACTTTGTTAAACCATGGCTTCTTCTGCAGCTCTATCTACCTCTATAAACCTTGTAAGTTCTCCCTCTCCTTCCATGGGTCCTGTATTTGGAAGCTCCCAAGTGGGTCTTGATCCATTAATAAAACCTGCCTTTTGGTCTCTGCAGACTCACCATTTTGGGGTTCCCCTTCTCCATCACTGCAGTTTGAGGAGGCAAAGAAGAAAATCATATTTCAGTGTCTCTCAGGTCTGTTGCTCTTTTTTTATTTCTCCTAGCCATCAACTGTTTTTCCCCAATCACAACTCCCACTTCATTGCTTGATGGGTGTGAAAGATCCAGAGCAAAAGAGATACAGTACATGATCTTCCATTTTCTTGCAGCAAAAAAGCATTGTTGAGCAAAAGAACAGTGAAGACAGATCAAGAAAAAAGCAAAGTGACGACACAACAATTAGAGATTCTCCAGTATCCCAGCAGGAGGGTAGCTCCCCTCCGCTGGTTAATGCATTGAAAGTTGCAGCTGAACGAAATGCCGCTCGTTTTCACTTTCCTGGGCATAACAGAGGGCGTGCGGCACCATCATCAGTAACTCAGCTCATTGGTGTAAAGCCATTTATGCATGATTTAACCCAGATTCCAGAGCTGGACAACCTTCATCGTCCCAAGGGCCCAGTTTTAGAAGCAATGCAGCAAGCAGCACAACTTTTTGGAGCATCTGAGACATGGTTCCTGGTTGGAGGAACCACTTGTGGGATTCAAGCTGCAATTATGGCAACTTGTTCTCCAGGAGAACATATAATTCTTCAAAGAAATTCCCATATATCAGCCATATCTGCTCTGGTGTTATCTGGTGCAATACCTATATACACCATGCCTGAGTATGATTCCAATTGGGACATTGCTGGTGTGGTTACTCCATCACAGGTGAGTGAGGAGCTTTGGTTCTCAACTCTTTGTAGGGTGTCTTCACAATCTAAATTGCATCCTCCATACTAGAATAAGTTTCCTGTTTTCTGGTATACCCAAGGACATCCGTGCTCATCTCATCAAGGGTATTTGGTATTAAGCTCACTGGAATATTCGAACTTGAGACCTATAAACTAGGATGACCAAGAGGCTCCAAACCCTTGTTAACTGAACTTATACAACACAACATTTTAAACTAAGCAAAATAAGAACTACTGGAGAAAATTTTCCCTTGGTTATTTAACTCTTGTATCTTTTTAACTAGATGGATATCCTGTTAGACTAAATTTTTATCATTTCACAGATTGATAAAACAATCAAGGATGCAGAAATGGAAGGCAAAACAGTATCTGCAGTCTTTGTTACTTCACCTACTTACTATGGAGTATGCAGTAATCTGAGAGAGATTTCCCAGATATGTCATTCTCATGGAATTCCCTTGATTGTTGATGAGGCCCATGGGGCACACTTTGGGTTTCAACCTCAGCTACCTCATTCAGCACTCCAGCAAGGGGCTGATTTGGTTGCTCAATCCACCCATAAAGTTCTCTGTTCTCTTACTCAGTCATCAATGTTACACGTTTCAGGAGATATCATAGACAGAGAAAGAGTTTGCAGATGTTTACAAGCAGTTCAAAGCACCAGCCCCAGTTATCTGCTTTTAGCATCATTAGATGCCGCCAGAGCTCAACTAAGTGATAATACAGACAAGATTTTCAAGAAAGCAATAGATTTAGCAAATCAAGCAAAACAAAAGATAAATAAAATTCCAGGTATCTCGATCCTAGAAGCTCCCACTATTGATCCATTGAGACTCACTATTGGTTTCCAGCAATTTGGTTTGACTGGCAATGAAGCAGATGAAATACTACACAAGAATCATGATATAGTTTGTGAACTCTTCGGGACACAATCCATTACTTATGTCACTACCCTCGGAACATGTGAAGATGATATACAAAGGCTGGTGTCAGGTATTGAGGATATAAGCTCTTCTGCATCCATTCTGAGAGTTGAAGGAAGAAGCAAACTTAGTCTTTTTGCTCCCTTTCCTGACAATAAAATCGCTTTGAGTCCTAGAGACGGGTTTTTCGCGAAAAAAAGGAGAGAGAACTTTGAAGAATGCGTGGGGAAGGTGTGTGGGGAGCTAATAAGTCCATACCCACCAGGGATACCAGTAATGATCCCAGGTGAGGTTATATCTGAACAAGTTTTGGATTATTTCCTGCATCTAAAAAGCAAAGGTGCCACTGTAGATAGTGCATCCGATCCTCAACTTGCTTCACTACTTGTGTGCAATGTGTAGGCGAAAGTGCAAAATGACTTATGAACAGGGTGCTTTATTTGAATCCTGATATGGTTGGAGTGGTTTCTAGCAGAATATAAGTATTGATAAGTAAAATCAAGTTGAACCTCTTCTTTGTAATCATCTTTCCTCCACACAAATGCACCAATAATCAATGATTTGATCTTGGTTTCTTCCTACACTGGTAACAGTAAACTGAAAACCCCACAACAAAATTGTGAAACCCTTCTTTAAACCCCTCCACACAGACAAAATTCATACAAATCTAACAAGAACCACGATTTGATCAACGATTTGATTCACAAAATGAAATAAAACTGACCAAGATAACACAACCAGAAAACCTGCAAACCAGATTCCCAAAAACTTGAAACGTGCTCAAAATGATGAGAGGAAACAGTAAGATCTCATCAAACTAATGCCAAAAACTCAATAAGTGGCTCTCTACATCAAAAGTTGAGGGGCAGGGCAACCATATGCCAACACAACAGCGCACACAAGTTTGCACCTGAAGGATGGCCCGGTTGAGAAGGGCTTTGAATCTTTTAATCATACTGGTTCAGAGGTTTCACTTCGAATATTTTGATGAGCTTAATACCAAAAATCATCGATGTCTCCGAATCCAAACTTTGGAGCGGGCACGGGTGTGCTGGGTATAGAGGAGCAAAGCTCCGACTTTCGGTTATTAAAAAAAAATCATGCACAAATTTAAAATTACACTAAACTAAGTATATCAATATACATTTATCCAACCTACTCGAGAAACCGGTCAAAAGTTTAGGGACAACCATATGCCAACATCACACGTAAACTTAAAACTATACTAAACGAAGTATATCAATTTGCATTTATTCAATCAACTAGCAGGAAGCTTCTATCCCAAATATTTGTATTATGAATGATCATAATACAGTACATAACATATAAAAATTACGATTAATTCTTATGTGTTATATGTTTTGGAGATGATAGGTTCAAAGTTAAGTTTACAATGGCCGTTCAGACGTGTTTCTTTTGGAATCAATGATATCTCTATTTGTTCCAACAAGTTTGTCCGTTACAATATTTCCACCATGTGAGGTAATATTCTTTAAATGAGAAAATTAAGGGGAAAAAAAAAGTTCGGCTGAGGACAAAATTGGAATTAGAATTTTCCTTTTTCCCTCTGAAGATAATTTGTGGACTGATGCGTGCTAGTTCAAGCAGAATCGCCGTAGCCATCTGAGCTTGAGAATGATTTCGCCATTGAAACGATGAACGAACTTTTGGCGATGGCTTCTTCGCCTCTATCTTCCTCTACAAGCCTTGTAAGCTCTTCCTCTCCATTGACGTTACATTTGGATAAGCATTCAGCTCGTATTTGTGAAGTTCAAGGTCTGATAATAATTCTTCGGCTTTGCATTCTGCAGAATCACCATTTTCGGTCTGCACATAATCGGGGAAGAAAATCATGTTTTAGTGTTCGTCAGGTCTGTCTCCTCGTCCTTCAGGCTTCCGAGTATTCTTAGGTATCTTTTTTTCCCCCCCTTTTCTCTTCGTTCTGCTCGACTCTAATCGAAGATGATGACGGGTCCTCAATACCTAAACTATGGTCGGCCGAGTAAATTCTTTGATTTCTCTGATCCATGACAGTGGTGAACATTTCTTTATTGAGAATTGCCAATTTCCTTATGAAGCTCAAATTGATGGTTTAGCAGTCGAGCATTTCCAATTTTTTTACTCGGAAATTCAATAGAATTATAGTACTAAATCCTTTACTTGTTTTGCAAATAGTCCTTCCAGATTACTGAGTTCGCCATAAGGATTGTACCCAATGTTGAAGGGTTGGGAACTCTTTAAGCTTCACCAACATGAGTAATTATCAGTTTCCTACATTTATAAACCAAGGAAGATGAAAGGCAATAGAGGATCTAATCTGTTCTCTAATAGTAATATCGAATCATTTCACCAACAAAGCCATGGTTCTAAATGCAGGGTCTGGTTTTACTCTGATGAGGAACAAAAAATGGATGGCAAAAGATATACCGTGTGTCTTTGCCAAGAGGATCTCTAAATTATGTTAAAACTCTTCATTTTTCTTGCAGGAAACAAGCATTGTTGAACCAAAGAACAACCAAGACAGGTCAAGTAAAAAGCAAAGTACCGCCAAGATAGCCATTAGTGAATCTCCAATATCCAAGGAGAGCTGCCCCCCTCTGGTTAATGCATTGAAAATTTCAGCAGAGCAAAATGCAGCTCGTTTCCACTTTCCTGGGCATAATAGAGGACGAGCAGCGCCATCGTCATTTACTCAGCTCATTGGTCTAAAACCATTTATGCATGATTTACCTGAGCTTCCAGAGCTAGATAACCTCTTTTGTCCAGAGGGCCCAATTTTAGAAGCACAGCAGCAAGCAGCAAAACTTTTTGGAGCATTTGAGACATGGTTCCTGGTTGGAGGAACCACATGTGGAATTCAAACTGCAATTATGGCAACTTGTTCCCCAGGGGAACATATAATTATTCCAAGAAATTCTCACGTATCAGTCATATCCGCCTTGGTTCTATCTGGTGCAATACCTAAATACATCATGCCAGAGTATGATTCCAATTGGGACATTGCTGGTGGGGTTACTCCATCACAGGCGAGTGAGGAACAATGGTTTTCAACTCATGGTTACAAACATGTCATGTAGGGTATAAAATTTCTCAACAGACTATTGCTTACTATGAGTATTAATCTTAGCAATACCACTCACAATTTACTATAATTTGACTTGATATAAGAAAATAACGAATGCAGCACAATTGAGCTTTTTACATTTTGATGACCAGACATTAAGTTTTACTGGGGAAAACTGATATGGGATGGTTAATATGCTACTTTAGGTTAGTTTTGCTACCATTAGTTAAGTTATTAATTTTGGTTTCCAATTTCAAAACCTCACATCTTTATTTAGTTGATTAGTATCCCGTTATTCTGAAGAGCGGAATTTTTTTTTATTATTTCACAGGTGGATAAAGCAATCAAGGATTCAGAAATGGAAGGCCATAAAGTTTCTGCAGTTTTTGTTACTTCACCTACTTATCATGGCATCTGCAGTAACCTAAGCGAGATTTCCCAGATATGTCATTCTTATGGAATTCCGTTGATTGTGGACGAGGCTCATGGGGCACACTTTGGATTTCAACCTCAGATGCCTCATTCTGCACTCCAGCAAGGTGTTGATTTGGTGGCTCAATCCACCCACAAAGTTCTCTCATCTCTTACTCAGTCATCCATGTTACACATGTCAGGGAATATTGTAGACAGAGAAAGAGTTTGTAGATGTTTACAAACACTTCAAAGCACTAGCCCCAGTTATCTACTTTTAGCATCATTAGATGCTGCCAGAGCTCAACTAAGTGATAATCCAGACAAGATATTCAACAAAGCGATAGACCTAGCAAATCAAGCAAAAAACAAGATAAATAAAATTTCAGGTATCTCTATTCTAGAAGTTCCCATCTTCTCCAACTCCCCTGCAATTGATCCATTGAGACTCACTATTGGTTTCCAGCAACTTGGTTTGTCCGGCTATGAGGCTGATGAAATACTACACAAGAATCATGACATCGTTTGTGAACTTGTTGGGACCCAATCTATTACTTTTGTCATAAACCTCGGAACATGTGAAGATGATATTGAGAGGCTGGTGTCAGGCATTGAGGATGTGAGCTCTCTTGCATCAATTCTAAGAATTGAAGGAAGAAGCAAACTTAGTACTTCTGCACCTTTCCCTGACATCAAAATCGTCTTGAATCCTAGAGATGCCTTTTTTGCAAAGAAGAGGAGAGAGAACATTAAAGAATGTGTTGGAAAGGTGTGTGGGGAGCTAATATGTCCATACCCGCCCGGGATTCCTGTAACAATCCCCGGTGAGGTTATATCCGAGGAAGTTTTGGATTATCTGCTGCATCTAAAAAGCAAAGGTGCTTCTATAAGTGGTGCATCTGACCCTCAACTGTCTTCCCTACTTGTATGCAATGTTTAGAAGACAGCGCAAAATAATTGATGAAGTCCCTACATGAACCGGTTCCTGATGGTTGGAGTATAATACAAATTTGCAGTGTTTATGGATATCTGTATTGGATTGGGGGGAAGTATTAGTGATAACTCTTGTTGATGTTCTCCTTGTACGGAGCGATCAAGGAAAAATGGAAAATTACGAGGAGGGAATAAATCTTCTGGGAATGAAGTCAGACTCCTGGTTTTATCATAATGGTGACACAATGCATTTGAGGCTATTCAGCATGTGTTTGTTGCATGAAATATCATGGGACATTCATCTTTTCACTTGGGCGTCAGTCAGGTGATTGCAAGTATAGCTTTTAGATACCATCATTCACCCTATTACATACAATTTCCCTTCACCAAATTTTGCTCTTGACCTAGCTTGTTGAGAGAGGTTACATTTGTTTCTGAATCAGATATCTATGGAAGAACAGTTACAAATTTTGTGAACTATGAACTCCTAATAACAATATACTTGGCTTAACTATTTGCATATTCATCATGTTCAAGTTTAACACCATATAATTATAGGTTTGACATCTGAGAGGTAGAAAATTGAGACAACAGATAAAGTAGTTGAGAGTTTTCTGTACTTTCGACCAAACACCTTTTAAAATGATAATAGGGCCTTGAATTAGACAATATATGATTTAGCATGCCATCTTATTCTCTAATGTGCAACGATTTCTGGAGAGATGAGTGTTACGTTTCTCTATTTTTCATTCATATCTAAAACTTCATACCGTTCCTCACCAACTCAAAACCTCCTTCCATGGTACCATTTCTTAATAACTTAGTGCAAACAGATGAGCATGACAAAAGGAAACCATGAGAAAACCTGGCATCAATACTGGGTTGAAGAATAGATGACTGCTTTACTTGTATAGATCGTTAGTACAAATGAACCAAGACAAGTCAGAAGAAAACCAAATCTAAACTCACATAGCATTCCCCAGTACTCAAATCATAGACAGCCAACAAGTGGAAATTTAGAGTTGAAACCAACTTGAATCTAGAATCACTAAATATTATGCTCAGTCTTTGGGATTGAGGAAAGATTTGCAGCACTAATAACAATCTTCAGATTTCACACAATACCCACCACACACCATGTACACTATCCTAGACAACTCAAGAGAATAACCGAGACATACAGTTCTAAGGCATTTGTATGTCCTTATAATGTCATCACATCATGGCATGGCAACTCTAATGTCATCACATCATGGCATGGCAACTCAAGTGATGACAGATGCTAAGCCCTTGAGGGCATGTCAGTCAGTAAGGACTCGGAGTCTCTTAGTTATACTAGTTTAGAGATCTCAATTTGGAACCTTCTAGTAAACTTAATACTAAAAATCTTCAATTTGGAACCTTCTAGTGAACTTAATACTAAAAATCTTTTATATCTCCCGGGTCCAAACCTCAGGGCGAGGCGAAGAATCATGTCAGTAGAGAGAACAGTGCACGCATAAAACAAAAATGACAACAACCCAACATGGGCATAGGCTAAATAACACACGATACTAAGAAAGCCCCACGCTCACATCAAGGAGAGTTAGACATTGCTGTAAAAATTATTTATGATCACAATTTAAAGGAATATTATGCATACTATAACATAATGAAAGACAATAGAAACAAGTAATCCAATGATGATTATAAAGCCATGATCAGTTACCATTGAGAGAGAAGGTAGGAAAACCAGCCACCACAAAAATGGGCCTCTTGATAATCCAGCCTTGTAGCTCTCGCATGGCTTTTGGCTTTACTGTGACTCAATTTCCCGCAGTCTTGAAGGATCGGATAGCACAAATAAAGCCTAAAATCATTCAATTATTTGAATAAAAATTCAATTCGGAAAAGAGAAGCGCATCAGCATTCATACCGATAAGGCGACTGACTAAAAAAATTTCAGAAGTATTGCAAAATAGATCAAAAATTTCGGTCAAATTATTACAAGTCTTCTGTCGTTCCACTTTATACTCAAACCCTAACTAATTTTTATACGCTAACTAAGCCATTCACCCAACGTGCAGGGCAAACAAAAATCCAGGTAAAACAGAAAACCGAGAAGAAGGCAGCGATCCATCAGAAAAAGCGGTAAACGGATGAAATCAGACGGGGCTGAGAAGCTGGGAGAGGTGAGGCTTTGGTTCTGAGTTCATGCCGATGATGATGACCAAAGGAATAAAGCCATAGTGAGTGATGACCTTGGCTTTCTTGACGGCCCAAGTGCTCCACTCCTTGAAGGCCTGGGTTGCTGATTTCTCCTCAGAAGACTTCGATGAGCCCTTGCTGCTCTTGCCCTTGCTCTTAAAAGAAACCTTCGACGCCATGGCTACGACAACTCGATCTCTGCTGAATGCGCGGTGCGGGTTCCTTCTGGTTTTATTTCGCGGCCGTACTCTCTCTTTAAACCCTAAATACACCATACACGTGGCGCGGTTTGGCTATACTTTTTTTTTCCCTCGCCCGCGACCGCAATTAACCTTTTTTTTCCCTTTTCTTTTCTTCTGTTTTCTATGCCCTTTTTTTCTATTTTATTGCTATTCTTAATTTCTTATTACAAATTAAATTTTAAAAAATATATAATTTATATTGTTTTTTAATTATTATTACTATTATATATATATATATATATTTTTTTTTTTTTTGCATAGGTAAATTAGAGATTTCAAAAAATCTTTTTGTGGACATAATTAGAGATTTCTCTCTAACTTCATCCTCCTAGTCCTCCCTAATATATGATTTAATGGAATTAATTATTAAAAATAACACAACTAAGAAAGCTAACTTTTCACTATATATAGGCTTCAAGAGAAATACTTTTATGTAATTATAAATACTAAATTTTCAATTATAAAAATCATTTTTAAAAATAGATTTTTTTTTTTTAATGTAGTACTCAAAAACAACAGAGAAAAAAATAAAAAAAAGGTCCCAAATGGATAAATGAGACAAATACCAGTATTAAATTTCTCCCAAAGTCGAGGGCGAGAAAGACATCCCGACCCTGATAATCAATTATCAAATTAAAATATAAAAATCATATGCATAAAATTGAATTAAACGGACTTTTCTTTAGTACAACAGGTAGGAAATTCGAATTCATGACCTTATTAGAGATAAATATTTTAACTTATTGAACTATGTTCATGATGTAATCAACACACCTATAATCTCCCAAACATGTCAAAAGTTCAAATTTTCATCCATTGTTTAATTATAATATTCTGTTTGCAACCCAAAAAAAAAAAAAAAACAAAACAATATGATCTAATCCACATTTTCATTATATATAGATATATTATTAAAATCTGTTATAACAAATCCTCCACCCTTAACATCTCCAGTAATCTTATCCCACTGACTTGAGAAAGTGTCATATTTAGGTAACCATTATGGTTCCTAAGCCAATGTCCATAGCAAACAATGCCTTCAAACTACTCATGGAAACAATTATTTAGTCAAATCAATAGCTCTAGTATAGTATATCAACCGTACTACTCATTCTAACGTAGTTCGAGTGAATAAAACATCTATTACTATTCTAAAAATTGATAGTTCAATCTTCCACACCACCAATTGTTGAATCCCAAAAAAAAAAAAAAAAAAAAGATGGCTCTAGTATATCTATGCCACAACGTTCAACCCAACCTCAATTAATTTTAGCAGAACTTATGCTCCTAGATTTACCAGAGAAAGAAACCATCAAGCTGAATATAACTAAACTAGTTAAACTAGTTAAAACATATATGATCGATCAAAATATCAAAGGTTCGAACCCCCACCAAAAAAAACAAGGAAAGGAAAACAAATGTTTTATTTTCTAAACAGAATATATATAACCAACAATTTAGCCCCATGTTCAGAAATAATACGAAAACAAAAAACAAAAATGGTCTATATTCATAAAAATTTAAAAGCATGACTTCCACTGAAAATACTCAGCATTCTCAATATGACATAAAATACAGTGTAAACTTGCATAGCATCACTTCTACAACTTCAAAGAAAGATGCAACATTGTCCCAGAATCCAAATTGGCGGGGTTCAGTGTTCACATATATAAGAAAGGTTTTATTACTCCAAGAAATTATTGCAGTTCCTGGTGTCGTGCTCAAAAAAACTTCCTGTAAGGTCTGCCTGCATCCTCATCCTGCATATGCTGTCAACATAATTTTTTAAACAGAGTTATATTTTAGAAAAAAGATCGATTAAGAGTGCACCTTGAAAATTAAAAACAGTTGTACCTTAAGAATATAAAGTAAAACTTACATAAATGAAGAGAGTGAAAAAAACAAAAACATGCAAATTTTAGTGGAAAGGAAGTGAACGCCAGAAGAAGTCACAGATGAACAGTTATAAAGACAAAAGTCAGACCACCAAACCAACATGCACAAAATCATATTTCTGCAGAATTATCAGATACAAACCATGCTATAAACACGAGTTTTTCTTTTTCCCCCAATGAACGTTCTGTGAACAATAGAAGCATTTTTTTTTCATTATACAATAAAGTAAATATCATCAAGTGTAATACTCCAAAAACACAAGAACCAACTTGTAAGATCCCCTACAAATCTAAGTTTCTGACATCATCAGATATTCACTTCTCATTCACACATTATGATCAAGTAATGTCAGTGAAATCTTTATTTTCATTATGCTTCCACTAAACATCCAAACAAAAAATTTGATCACAGTTATTTCACATCTTTTTCCCATCAAAAACAAAATTAGAAGTTAGAAGTTGATAATCATTTACAATTTTTCAAACCAGGGTCATTTCTTACACTTTCTTGATTCCAACCTATTAAAAAGAAATCTAGTTTTATGTCAACCAGTGACTGAAAAGAAGATTCTTCCAACACCCCCATCCATGACCATAGGATCGGACTTCCTGTCACCCCTTTCTTCGCAATTCTCTTTAGGTAATGAAAGTATGAAAACGCACAGCTTCTAGCAAGTAGCAACAGCCATTAAATAGAACAAGTACCTCAACTGAAAACCAAGCTCAAATCTCCCCTTTATAAAAGTAAAAGATTGCCGATAAGGATACAAGAAATGAATCACTTGTAATTATCCGACCCGGTGAACGGTCCAATTCCAAGTCGATCAAACGAAACCAAACCCAAAGAGACCGACCACTTGGAAAATCATCACGACTGGTCAAGGAAAATAGGGCTAAAACCTTCTTTACTTTGACATAATTTAGTAGAAAGGAAATCCAGACAGAGTGGCAAACATGGAAGAAATGAAACCCTAGAAAAGAACAATTTCAACTCGGATTGAAACGCGTGATGCGGATGGGCGTGAACAGATCAAGAAACAAATAGATAGAAATTGCAGGAAAAGATGGTAATAGGAGAAAGAGAGCGATGAGATTACAAATTCCCTGACGATGCCTTTGTAAACGAGGAGGGGGATGGCGATGCCAAAGATACCCACGAGAGCGAAGTTGCGGCGAGTCCAGCGGAAGTTATGCTCTAGATTTTCTCTAGCAGCACCCCAATCCTCGATAAATTTGTTCTTCTGCGCCTCCATTCCTCCGCCCATTGTCGCTGTCTTCCAATTTCTCCCCTTCCTCTTCTTTCTTCTCGTCGACGCTCCCCACTGCAAAACCACGGCTCTCTTTGGTGTTTACTCTCGTCTGTCTATGGCTCGATCAGTGGAGGAATTTCACGACCATTTCCATTTTCTTTTTTTTTAAATGAAGACAAAAATATATCTTTTCTATAAATAGCTGAATTACAACAACAACAAAAAAATAATAAAAATAATCATCCAGAAAATAAGCAAATATCCTATTATACAATCGTTTCAAAAATACCTTTTAGCAAATATCCTTTAATATTCCATTAGTATAAAAGCTTGTCTATAAAAAAGAAAATGTAGAAACAGCTATTCCAATATTAAGACAAATTTAAAGTTTTGAAAAGAGAGATTAACACGAAATGAGATAGACAAAAGCAGAGTAAAATTGGGGGTTAGTCATTGAAACTTTTGAAAATATAGTAATATTTTTAAATAAAAGGCAAAATTTTGGAATATTTTCTATAATTTAGCCTTTATAAATACATTATAAAACTAAAAATTTTCCCTTTCGAAAACTTGTACCGAAATATTATATACACTAACATATTTTTATCAACATCCAATTAAAATTACAATTTAGACCATCAATATTTCTATCAATATTTTTTTTTATTGATATATTTGACTGTTATTTAAATTCCCATTACTTCCACCGAACGCATTATTCTTCATGTCTCTAAATTTTTATATAATTAATTCTTTACAAAGTTTAACAAATCAGAATCTGTCGAGCAAACCTGAATTTTCGAGGAAAAAAAATACAATGTAATAACATATGCTGTTGCTGCCTCTATATCTTCCAATTATAGATCTTATTTTTCTAGTTCACCATTGATCCTTGACAACTAATGCAATGATAACAAATTTGAGTCCCCATTATATTTTATATTTATCTATTTGTAAAAATCAGACTAAGAAACACTACTTTGGCCTTAATTAAAAAAGCTTCCAAAACAAAACCATTATAAATATCAAATGCACACATAACTAAAATTTGGCCTAGAACACAAATTTCTAGATCAATTCGAGTTGTAGCTTGTAACTTTTTTGTTAATGAGATTAACTTTCAATTACTACATGAAATCTGATCAATCTATTTTTGTAACAAAATTTTAGTAAAAATGTAGTGTAAAATGCAAGCAGGATGAACAAGGAATAGTTTAATTAGACTAAATATTTATGGAACATAAATTATGCAAATTTAAATACAATACAATGGTCTCTTGGACACACCAAAGAAATCCTGGCCATGCTTGTAGCGTCCCCTTGTTGGCCTCCACGCTTCCACTGGTCAAGAGCAGAGGGAAATTGTTCTGCAAAAATTGAGATTTTACATTAAAAATAGATCCAAAATTTTCAATTTGAAAGCTGGGGGGCTGCCTCTGGCTCACATAAATAATTTAACAGTTTTTCTTTCTCTCGTTGAACTCCAGACTTTGGCATACTAGATATGAAAGAAGCTGAATTTCCATGAAAGCATAACAAGTCCCTTCCCGATCGACCGCTTCGAAGAGATTTGGAGGAACCGAGAGTAGAGTCAGACGCAAGAACAGCCATTACCCGTGGGCATCTAGTATTGTATAATGGTCGGACGAGTGAGGTATTGCAGAAAAACTTCTAGATAAGAACTCAAGAGAGCGGAGAATTAGATTGCAATCTTGTCTTAACTTCATCTAGGCAAGATTCAAGATCCCTATATTCTTGGGTGTCTGAGAAGCCCACAGCCTGAAAATGTAGTATTGCAAGTGTAAGTTCATTTTTGTAGGACTATACTCAATTTGCAAGAGGTGTATTCAGATGAGAAATGGCACTATGATAAAGAAAAATTCGGTCAAGTACTTCCTGCAACCATCAACGGAAAAGGTAATGGATCTTATGCAAAATTATCTTACCTGTTTTACTGTGTTTTTGAGGTGCATCTCGGCTGCATATAGTTCTCGCTGACTACCCGTAGTGGATGAAATGTGCATGTAGACCCTGCATAATTCTAATGAAGCTTGTGCAAACTTTATGTATCTATCCTTATCTTTCCAAAGATCGGATCCCTGTAAAAGTAGAGTACGATAAACAAGGACACCAAAAGCCTGTATGAAAATTTATAGCGATAATAAAAGAAACATATGACCCAAAGAAGCAACAAAGGAAGTTCAAGGGCTCCCTATTTATAAAATTTCACATACAGTTGCTCATTAGATCTCGGATGGAGGCAAATTAACTTGCACATCCTCCTGAATATAGAATTGATTATTCAGTTCTCAAAGCGATATATACTTCAAGAATTCAAGACGATACAGAATAATGGTCTTTCAAGAGCTATTGCGACGACATGAAGATGTTGACTCAATGGCCTACCAATAGCCACATTAAATGGCAGAAATTTTGTTGTAATGCACAAACATGATCACATCAAGTCATATAGTAAACGCATAATATGAATGATAATCTCTTTCTAGACATCCATGGAAAAGAATGGTTACAAAAGAAGGGGAAGAGATTAGAATGCCTTTTGTCCATAAGAAACAAGAACTTGGAGTCAATGCTCTCTCTACAACTAACAAGCATATGAGATCAATTACTAAATACAGTCAGACATTAGTTGACGAGAAAAACAGGAGTTAAATCCATCTTTTTAAAGACATTTACGGTTGTAAATTTCAAACTTTATAGTCCATACCTGATATGATCTAACTTGCTTTAGGAGGGCCTCAGAGCACATTGTGAAGTCTCCTTTGATTTTGTGCCACCTTGCATATAAGCCCCATATATCTCCTCCAGTTCCACCTCGAACAATCTTAACAAGAAAAATAGAGTGCAATAAGTAAAAAAGAGAAGGCTTTACAATTACATACCTCAAATGTGAGATCAATTGTAAGAATAGCAACAGAATTTGAAAAGAACGCGAGACTCAAAACATTTAGCTGATTAATTGCAAATTTTGCTGAGAGAAGGGCCCAACACTAATGATAAGATCAAATGCCATATATTCAACCATAGCTCTTCAACCAATTGGTGCAGTCTTGTATGTCCAGGAGCGGAACTGCAGTTCATTTATTCCCGAGACTTTGATTACATCTGGCTTATTTGGTGGAAATTGCCATGGATGTTTAATTACAACTTTACTACCCTAAAGAGTAAAGGCAGCTCATTATGGCATATTTCACTCCTTTGCAGAGCACCTTCTAAAATCGAAGGGCAACTTACCTTTTCAGTATAATGTTTCCCCTTGGGTTTCAGTTTTTAAGGATTTTAATGATGATTGTCCTTTATCTATCATTTTGGACTGGAGCCTTTTCTTGTAATTGTGTAGTTTGTTAGTTTTTTATCTTTGTTTTCTGGTCCTTTCTATGGCCTTTCCTTTCTGTGTTGCCCTAGTTTACTCTTTCATCGAACAATGAAAGCTAGTTTTCTCATCAGAAAAACTAGGTATGTGCAGTGCAACCAACTTTCTGAAATATTTGACAATTGTCAGACTTGATAAGAGTGCAGGAGGAAGGGTGGAACACTTTTTCTTTACCTTCTCTTTCAAGCGCCTAAGGCTTTTCTTATTACTCCCCAAAGAACTATAGAATCCCTAGACCGAACTTTGTAAGAAAAGATTCCAACTGTCAAAAAGAAGATTATCAGCGGTCTAAACCCCATAGTGAAGATTTTTTTTTTAAATCATAGGAAACGTGGAAAGATTGACTCCAAAAATCAGCAGTCCTAAACCCATAGAGAAATTGAAATGCGCTAAACGCCAGACCTCATCCCACCTGCCACACTTATCATAAAAATCCTTCTCTCTTGAGTTGAATGCTCCATAATTGGGGAGAGAGAGCCTTGGATACCCTTGGGTACAGGTGAACAAAGCTCTAACTCCCTGTTATAAAAAAAAACATAATAATAATAATAATAATAAATTGGCGTAGAGATAAAATGAAGTAACAAAGAACAGCCTGCAAAAAAGTTTCCTTGTACCAACAAATGGTGGAGTGCGGAAAATAAAGAATCCTTCAGACTGCATATATTAATTTCTGCAACAATTACTCTATTTAATACTTCATCATCCTTATTTTCCTCTACAACTTTCTTTTTTGCCTAATCTTATATTTACTACTTACAACCTAATGATGAGAATAATAATGAATCAAAGATACCGGATAGAAGAAAGAGAGAGAATAATAACATTGAAATAGCTTACTTTATTGGGGCTTGGAGGTTTGAGAATAAATATTGAAGCTAAAGTAACAAGGCACTTCAGAATATAAAAGCCAAGCTTATTATTTTTGTATACCTGACGCAGAATTTTTCCAATTAACTCCACCAAATGATCAGTTTCCCTACTTTTTTCAACCACCAAGTCTGCTTCACGATGATGAGACTCAGAATGGCTATTTGAAGCCTTCCTTTCAACCTCCTGCATAATTCTCTCCAACAAGTCTACATCAACTCTATTATTATTTGTCATATCTATCACCTTTTGTACAGCTTCCAATGCCTTGAAAGAAAGAAAACAGATAGCAAAGATTAATTAATAATAAAAAATGGTCATGTACAATCAATAATAATATTTCTCAATCTTTTTGGGGCTTGTTTCTTGTGGGTGCTTATTTTTTTCTAGGTTGCAAACGTGTGGAGGAAGTTTTCTCTTCATTAGATAATGGAAAGATGGAAAATCCCTTTTTCTAATGAAAAACCACTTCAATAAAATTGGAAGGAAAAAAAATGTGGTCATACAAAAACACAAGCCAAATCAACAGAAAGTACCCCAAAGAAATTACAAAAACTCTAAGCCTCCTCCCATAACCGCTTTATACCTCACCTTCCCATTCCTTCCCAGCCAAATAATACAATACTGTGCTTGCCTAAAAACTATGACATTTAGTCATTCTGAATTTAGTGGAAAGAATGCGAGTTTTCTTGATAAATGGGTCAGATATTTCCTAATTCCTATTGAACAATGAAGTAATCGGCACAATGTTTTATCAGAAGTTCCCCAAGGGGACATAATTGGCACAATGTTAATAAAAGCAAATATGATGAGCACGTACTTGATTATGAATGGAACCCAAAGAAGCAGTACAATGAACCATTGGAGAATGATTGCTTCTTGGAAAGCTTGGTGGAGAATTTTGTGTTTTTAAACTTACTAATGGAAAAAGAATCAGATATTGAAAGATGTTTGACTTGGTAACAAACCTCTCAAATAGTATTTTTTCTAAACCACAAAATGTACCAAGTATAATAACCCTTTGAGAACTAAGTGCAATCAGAAAAAGTAAATGAGACTTTTTTTAGCTGCATAATAGAAAAAAATAAATAAACTTTTTGAAGAATTAAGGCTTTAGAGAAAGTCTGGCCACAAGGTAACTTCTAACATGACAAGGGAACTCCATTATTTTTCCTTTTACTCCTGAAAAAATCTCTAGTTTCCTCCTAAGTTCACTGGGTTAATCATTGGTATAGTTGTCACATTTGATAGCCAGAGAGCAATAGATATTTGCCATACCGGAAAGATGGCCTTTTTTTCATTGTAAACCCACTTTCATTGAGAAAAAATGAAACAGAACAAGTACAAAAGGGCGAAAGCCCCTTGGAGCATATAAAAAGACAGCCCACCCACAGAGTTCGAATCTATGGGTATTAGACTTATGACGTTTGGTGGTTCAATGCAAGAGCCCTTCCTATAACGCCAACCCACCTCGTGATGCAAGCAGCTTCATATGAATACAGCTAAAAGAATGGAAACAACGGGATAAACAAGTATACCTGGCCAATATTGCCCGTGTCTAAAGCAACATGGCTGTAGTTCTCCCACAATTGCCAACTATTTCGTCTGTCATGAAGTTCACATTTGGTCACTTAGAAATCAAAATCTTTAATAAAAACCCAGAGAACTATGCTTTTCAAATTTTGAATGATATTAAACATCCAGAAATACATCAGGAAAAAATGTTAATATATTAAGACAGAGAAATCGAACTTGAACTTCAAGGCTTCTTTGAATGCAATGAAGGCCTCTTTACTCCTTTTCTTGATCATATGTCTGCATCATTTGTAAGTCCATAAGCAACAAAATCATAAAACTGTGAATGGGATAAAATAGGGAAAATGATTACACAGATTAATGAAGTAAAAGAACAAAAATCCACAAAAACATACAAACAAGCAATATTGTTCCAAGCCTCCCCATTTTCAGGATCAAGTTGAACGGCACGAGTAAAACCATCAAGTGCCGTCTCAATATCCCTTGCCTGCATTTTTTCATTAATTATTTCAAAAAAGAGTATTGATTTTTCAAAACCAGAAAACTCTGAGAAAAGTTAATGTAGTTATGTCAGAACCAAGTTTATAAGCTGCAATTTTCATGACAAGTTACCTTCAATGCAGCAGCACCAAGTGCAAACCAACCATCTGGATATAGAGAATTCAAGGCCATTGCAGACTCCCTAATCATGAATTACATTTGACATAAAAATTAAATACAGAACATAGTAATCATACAATGACTGAGGATATAAGCTTTCAGCTGAGAAGCGTAGCTGATGACTGATAAGAAGCAGTATGAATCATAATATGCATGGGAAAATCCAACAGAAAGAGACTTTTATCGCAGAGAAAATCTTCAAGATAGAAAAGAACATAATATCCCACTCCATCATTCTGTCAATTAAGAATGAACATAAAGAAAATATTTGACAAGATTACATGTATGAATAACCAACTGTTCACAGTGAATGTGAAACTTACCATAGGATTTTAGAGGTCTCATAATCTCCCCTGTTGTATGCACTACGAGCAAGAGATCGCTGTAAAATATAAGAAACTAAACAATCAAAACATAGACCATACTGGGGAAGGCATTTATATAATGCAATCAAATCACCTTAGCTCTAGCTGATCTATTATTTGAAACTTCCAGGGCTTTCTCATAGCAGGCATCACTATTTGTAACATCGCCCAGAGAGCACCTACAATTTAATTTTTTATATGAAAGTGAGGAAGATGATTCAGATCCATGCTATGCACCCCTAACCCCACCTCCCCAACCCAAACGATGGAAAATAAATAAGTTACACTAATAAGTAAAGAGAATGTGGTATTCTCCCCAAACGAAGAATCAATTGACGAGAACAAGCCAGAAAAGCTATTCTGACAAAAAAAAAATATATATGACAAACAACTATACAATGAAGACTAGTGAAACAGAATCAACCAAAAAGGCAACCTTAGAGAAAGACAAGTAAATTGCGTACCAGAGTCTGGGATCATTAGGCATTTGAGAAAGTCTACTCTTGATGAGATCTACAGCCGCTGCTTTCTTCTCCAACAAGCTATTAATTTAATGAAATATCATGAGATTGTAACTTGGAAAAGAAGAGTAGACATGAAATACAGGTGCAATTAATTAATGAAAACATAATCACCGTACCGGTAACAGAAGATTAAATTATCCCACAACTCCAACTCCTCAAAAATTTTAACTGCCTCTCCTATCAAACCACAGCTCACTAAGAGTTCGCCATATTCCCTGAAATTCAAGTTGACCACCATTTCACTCGGAAGTCGAAACTAAGGGAGGAAACAAACCAAGATGTAACAATTCATGCACAAAATGGGCAATGGGGTTTGAAATTTAACAACTTCATGCTTCTATAGCAATCATGACAAAGGATGGAGTGTAAAAGTCATACTTTCGCAAAGCAGGAAAAGTAGGAACATAAACCCCACAACAGAAATACATCCTTTGTGCCACTCCTGGATAACAATCATAAAAACCCTGAACCTGAAAGCAAAGAAGATTCCCGATAAGAGGCATCCCAAAACATAATGAAGATTATCAATCTGACATCTGGTGTACAGCAGAAAGTACATTATCAGACTACAAAACCTAAGATGCAAAAACCAAAGATAAACAATATCGAGCCCACATTGACACGGCCAAACTTTCTTAGAATAAGATGGAAACAAAGTTCAAGACTATAGACCACTTACAGAGTCAAGTTCTAGCAACAATATGAGATTAAATAAGAAAAGAAATTCAGTAGTAAGTAAATTGTATAATAGTTAATCAAATCAACTATAAGTATAAGTTAAAGAAAAAGGTACATTTGAGGAGACCATGATGAAATTGGAGAAAAGATGCACCTCGTACCAATTTTTCCATCATCACTAATGCACGCCCTTTCGTACGACTGCGAGTTGACTCCCATCGAACTCGCAAGACGTTGCAGAAAAACCTCACCTGAAAATGATTGAAAATATACATCAAAATTAAATTAAATAATAGAAAAGTTCAATTGCAAAATTGGAATAAACCATTCAATTGTAGAATTACAAACATTTGAAAGGTCAATAATGAAGAATATCATCAAAAAGAATGGAAGTTTTCTCTTTTTTTTTTAACAAGATACAAACTTTTCATTGAAAAGATGGAAAAGAACAAAATTGTCAACAATACAAACTTCCAAATGAGTGAAAATGAAAACGATA